AGGGGAAGGGAAGGGAAGGGAAGGGAGGGCAGGGGAAGGGAAGGGAAGGGAAGGAGGGAAGGAAATAAGAAAATGAATACTCTTTCCTACTCACAGCTGAGGTCACAAAAAAGTAAGAAAATCGAGCACAGACCAAAACCTTCAAAGAGGACAGAGCCCCTGAGTGGTGAGAGCCCTGTGGCCATGCAGACTGAGGGGAGAGAGGCCTCTGGTCTTGGCCACCAAGAGCCAATGTTGTTCTTAATGTCTGTCTCTCTTAAAAATTACATTGAGTCAACCTGTGCTTTCGTATAATAAAAGCATATTGGAATTGAGAACAAAAATTTACCGTGAAAAATTCTTTTTTTTTTTTTAAACTTGCAATGCTTGTCTTATTTTGTGTTTTATATTTTCAAAGTGAAAAGAAATAATATTGAGTATATTTCTTTTCTTTTTTTAATATTTGTTCTATGTTTCTACAAGCCTTCAAAATCTATGTTGCTCTAAAGATTTCAAAAGTATTGAGTAGGACCAGGCACGGTGGCTCACGCTGTAATGCCAGCACTTTGAAAGGCCTAGATGGGCAGACCACCTGAGGTCAGGAGTTCAAGACCAGCCTGGCCAATACGGCGGAACCCTGTTTCTGCTAAAAATACAAATATTAGCAAGATGTGGTAGTGTGCCCCTATAATCCCAGCTACTTCGAAGTCTGAGGCAAGAGAATCGCTTGAACCTGAGAGGCAAAGGTTGCGGTGAGCTGAGATCGTGCTGCTGCACTCCATCCAGCCTGGGTGACAGAGTGAGACTCTGTCTCAAAGAAAAAAAAAGGCATTGAGAGTACTTTTCACTGGGTAGCACCTTTAAAAAAAAAAAAAAAAAAAAAAACCATTCTTGGAGTTCTGTGGTCCACAGCATTTCCTTCTGTTTCAATGTATATGTGTTTTGATTGCTATTGTGATCTTTTAAATTTTCTGAAGCAAGCTGAGAGGCAGGCAGAAAGATTTGATGCCAAGAAAAAAAAAATCTTTCTTACATTATTCACCCCAAAGCTTCTCCAATCTAACCTAATACTACACCTTAAAACAAACATGAGGTGCATCTGAATGGGAAGGAAATTTATTTCTCTGCTTTTCTATCATACAAGTCATTTGCAAAACCTGCAAATTAAAGCCAGGCACAGTGGCTCACACCTGTAATCCCAGCACTTTGGGAGACCAAGGTGGGGGGATCACCTGAGTTCAGGAGTTTGAGATCAGCCTGGCCAACATGGTAAAATCCCATCTTTATTTAAAATACAAAAAATTAGGCCAGGTGTGGTGGCTCACACCTGTCATCCCAAAACCTTGGGAGGCTGAGGCAGGTAGATCACAAGGTCAGAAGTTTGAGACCAGCCTGGCCAATATGGTGAAACCTCATCTCTACTAAATATACAAAAGTGAGCTGGGTGTGGTGGCCCATGCCTGTAATTCCAGCTACTGAGGAGGTTAAGGCAGGAGAATCACTTGAACCCAGGGTGTGGAGGTTTCAGTGAGCCCAGATGGCACCATTGCACTCCAGCCTAGACAACAGAATGAGGCTCCCTCTAAAAAAGAAAATAAAAGAAAAGAAGAAAGGAACTGCAAATTAAAACATTACATATAGCGGAAAATTTCAAACACAGCTTGAAGTGCAGAGGCCAGGACGAGGTCTCTCTCTGTGCCACCACTCCCACAACAGCAATTAACATTCTGCCCTTCCTCTGCTCTCACTTCCTCTCTCCAGCTTTGCACGGGGATTTCACACAAATCCAACACATCATAGGACTTTGCCTGTAGACACCTGGGAACGTTGTCTAATCATTTGAAGGCTTCTGATTTCCCAACACAGAACCACCCAACCAAATTAACAATAATATCTTTTTATCACCTTGCTATACATTATTATCATCAACAATTTCCTGTTACCAATAACCAGTCTGTGACACACTGTCCATGATGATCTCAAAAATGTCCTTTTACAGCAAAACCTCATCTCTACAAAAACTACACAAAAATTAGCTGGGCATGTTGGCACATGCCTGTAGTCCCAGCTATTTGGGAGGCTGATGTGTGAGGATCGCTTGAGCTGGGGAGGTTGAGGCTGCAGTGAGCCATGACGGCACCACTGCACTCCAGCCTGAGTAACAGAGTGAGACTTGCTCTAAAATACATAAATACAATCAGCAGCCAATGGATTGGGACAAAATATTTGCAAATTATGTATCTGATAAGGGGCTAATATCCAAAACATATAAAGAATTCCTTCAAGTAAACAACAATAAAACACCCAATTTTAAAAAGGGCAAAAGAGGTGCATAGATATTTCCTTTTTTTTTTTTTAAACACATTGCTTCAGGCTGTGCACAGTGACTCATGCCTGTCATCCCAGCACTTTGGGAGGCTGGGGCAAGCAGATCGCTTGAGGTCAGGAGTTGGAGAACAGCCTGGCCAACATGGTGAAACCTTGTCTCTACTAAAAATACAAACATTAGCCAGGTGTGGTGGTGAGTGCCTGTAAATTTTAGCTACTTGTGGGGCTGAGGCAAGATAATCGCTTGAAATCAGGAGGCAGAGGTTACAGTGAACTGAGATTGCACTACTGCACTCCAGCCTGGGTGACAGAGTGAGACTGTCTCAAAAAAAAAATTAAAAATTAAAAATAAATTTCAAAAAAGCAAGGCATGGTGGCTCATGCCTATAATCCCAGCACTTTGGGAGGCTGAAGTGGGAGGATCACTTGAGCCCAGGAGCCTGGGCAACATAGTGAGACCCAAATATCTTTAAAAAAATAAATTAGCTGGGTGTAGTGGCTCACACCTATGGTCCCAGCAACCTGAGAGGCTGAGGTGGGAGGATTGCTTGAGCCCAGGTGGTCAAGGCTGCAGTGACCCACAATGGCACCACTGCACTCCAGCCCAACAGAGCAAGACCCTATCTTAAAAAGAAATAATTTAAAGGCCAGGTGAAGTGGCTCACGCCTGTAATCCAAGCACTTTGGAAAGCCAAGAAGGACAGATTGCCTGAGCTCAGGAGTTCAAGACCACCCTGGGCAACATAGCAAAACCCCGTCTCTACTAAAAATACAAAAAATTAGCTGGGCATGGTGGTGGGCCTGAGACCAGCCTGGCCAACATGGTGAAACCCCGTCTCTACTAAAAATACAAAAATCAGCTGGGCATGGTGGTGGGCCTGAGACCAGCCTGGCCAACATGGTGAAACCCCGTCTCTACTAAAAATACAAAAATCAGCTGGGCATGGTGGTGCATGCCTGTAATCCCCGCTACTCAGGAGGCTGAAGCAGGAGAATCACTTGAACCCAGGAGGTGGAGGTTACAGTGAGTTGAGATCATGCCACTGCATTCCCGCCTGGGTGACAGACTGACACTGTCTCAAAAATCCCAGCTACTCAGGAAGCTGAGGCAAGAGAATCACTTGAACCCAGGAAGTGGAGGTTGCAGTGAGCAGAGATTGTACCGTTGCACTCCAGCCTGGATGACAGAGTAAGACTCTGTCTCCAAAAAAAAGAGAAAGAAATTAAATTTAAAAAGGTAAAAATTAGCTCAGGATCCGCAATTTACAATGTGCTCCACATCGCTGTACATATTTATGTGAGTGTGCATCCAGAGGAAAATTCCAGCAAGTTTCAGAGATCTCAGAGGTTAGACACTGAGAGTGACCGTGATAACGGTCTAAGCAGCACCTGTGTGACACTTAGTCACCTCATGCCCTCCACTCAGCTCTGTCACATCAACAATCAGATCCAACCCTCATGGCGACTCCACAATACATGCTTGTCACTCTATTACAAAGAAGGAAGCAAAACTTAGGAAAACCAAGGACCTCGCCCAGGAACTCACAATCAAACCTAGTGGGCAGCCAGGCATGGGGGCTCACTCGGGCTTATGCCTGTCATCCCAGCACTTCAGGAGTTCGAATGCGGGCAGATTGCCTAAGGTCAGGAGTTTGAGACCAGCCTGGCCAATATGGTGAAACCCAGTCTCTACTAAAAATACAAAAATTAGCCATACATGGTGGTGCATGCCTGTAATCTCAGCTACTCGGGAGGCTGAGGCAGGAGAATTGCTTGACCCTGGGAGGTGGAGGTTGCAGTGAACCAAGATTGTACCATTGCACTTCAGACTGAGCAACAAGAGTGAAACTCCATCTCAAAAAATAAATAAATAATTTTTTAAAAACACAAAAATTAGGACGGTTGTCTATTAACTTGTTCAAAAAAGTAACAGGAGTTGTCAAGGCAGAGAAGAGAGTGTTTGCAAAAGAGGGAAAGTAGTTTGCTGCCTCTTTAAGACGGGGACCAAGAGAAAGAAGAGGAGAAAGAAAGGAGAGCTCCGGCTGGAGGAGGAGGGAACGCGCGTTTTTTTGGTTTTGTTTGTTTGTTTTTTGATTCTGATTCCAGTCTCTGCCTCTCTCGCTTTTTTGCCCCCAAATAGTTCCTCGCCTGATTCTCCTCGCGTAGCCCCGCGCTCCCGGCACCGCCGCCCGCCTCCCCTCCTCCGCCGTCCCCGCACGCGGGCCCCCCAAAGTCCCGGCCGGGCTGAGGAGGGTCGGCGGCCGCTGGCGGGTTGGCCCGGGCACGGCGCCCGCATGTACAGCGTGATGGAGACGGACCTGAAGCTGCCGGCCCGCAGCAGACTTCGGGGGGCGGCAGCGGCGGCGGGCGACAACCAGAAAAACGGCCCCGACCGCGTCAAGCGGCCAGTGAACGCCTTCATGGTGTGGTCCCGCGGGCAGCGGAGCAAGACGGCCCAGGAGAACCCCAAGATGCACAACTCGGGGGTCAGCCAGCGCCGGGGCGCCCAGTGGAAGCTGCTGTCCGAGGCGGAGAAGCGGCCGTTCACCGACGAGGCCAAGCGGCTGCGCGCTGCACGTGAAGGAGCACCCCGATTACAAGCACCGGCCCCGCGGAAAAACAAGATGCTCGTGAAGAAGGATAAGCACACGCTGCCCGGCGGGGTCGGGGTGGGCGCCAGCCTGGGCGCGGGCGTGAACCAGCGCAGGGACAGCTCCGCGCACATGAACTGCTGGAGCAACGGCAGCTGCAGCATGATGCAGGAGCAGCTGGGCTACCCGCGGCACCCGGGCCTCAATGCGCACGGCGGGGCGCATGCAGCCCATGCACCGCTACGACGTGAGCGCTGCAGTACAACTCCATGACCAGCTCGCAGACCTACAGAAACGGCTCGCCCACCTACAGCATGTCCTACTCGCAGCAGGGCACGCCGGGCATGGCTCTGGGCTCCATGGGCTCGGTGGTGAAGTCGAAGGCGAGCTCCAGCCCGCCCGTGGTGACCTCTTCCTCACCCTCCAGGGCGCCCTGCCAGGCCGGGGACCTCTGGGACATGATCAGCATGTACCTCCCGGGTGCGGAGGTGCCGGAGCCCGCCCAGCAAACTGCACATGGCCCAGCACTACCAGAGCGTCCCGGTGCCCGGCACGGCGATCAACGAACGGCACACTGCCGCTCTCGCACATGTGAGGCCGGACCGCGAACTGGACCGGGGAGGCGTTCTTCCACAAGAGCGAGGGGCATCAGTGGGAGGGGTGCAAAGAGGAGAGTTGGAAACAGCGTGGAGAAAGCCCGGTATGCTCGAAAAGAAAAAGGAGAAAAAAAAAAAAAAAATAGGAGAAGAATCTCATCAGCCACAGCAAATGACAGCTGCGAAAGAGAACACCGATCCCATCCACACTCACGCAAAAACTGCGATGCCGACAAGAAAACTTTTATGAGATAGATCCTGGACTTCTTTTTGGGGACTTATTTTTGTACAGAGAAAACCGGGGGGGAGGGGTGGGGAGGGCGGGGGAATGGACCTTGTATAGATCTGGAGGAAGGAAAGCTACGAAAAACTTTTTAAAAGTTCTAGTGGTACGGTAGGAGCTTTGCAGGAAGTTTGCAAAAGTCTTTACCAATAATATTTAGAGCTCGTCTCCGATTGACGAAAAAAAAGCTTTAATATTTGCAAGCAACTTTTGTACAGTATTTATCGAGATAAACATGGCAATCAAAATGTCCATTGTTTATAAGCTGAGAATTTGCCAATATGTTTCAAGGAGAGGCTTCTTGTTGAATTTTGATTCTGCAGCTGAAATTTAGGACAGTTGCAAACGTGGAGAGAAGAAAATTATTAAAATTTGGACACTTTAATTAAAAATTGTACAAAATGAAAAAAATTAGAATAAGTACTGGCAAACCATCTCTGTGGCCTTGTTTAAAAGGGCAAAAATTTTAGATTGTACCAAATTTTATAACTTACTGTTAAAAGCAAAAACGGTCATGGAGGTTGACATCGCTGGTAATTTAATAATAGCTTTTGCCCAATCCCAACTTTCCATTTTGTTCACATAAAAAGGAAAACATGAAATTACTGTGTTTGAAATATTTTCTTATGGTTTGTAATATCTCTGTAAATTTATTGTGATATTTTAAGGTTTTTCCCCTTTATTTTTCATAGTTGTATTTTAAAAGATTCAGCTCTGTATTATTTGAATCAGTCTGCCGAGAATCCATGTATATATTTGAACTAATACCATCCTTATAACAGGTACATTTTCAACTTAAGTTTTTACTCCATTATGCACAGTTTGAGATAAATAGATGTTTGAAATATGGACACAGAAAAAAAGAACACAAAAATTAGCCGGGTGTGGTGGTGCACGCCTGTAGTTCCATCTACCTGGGAGGCTGAGGCAGGAGAATCACTTGAACCCAGGAGGCAGAGGCTGCAGTGATCTGAGATTGTCCCGCTACACTCCAGCCTTGGTGACAGAGTGAGACTCTGTCTAAAAAAAAAAAGAAAAGAAAGAAACCAAGCAGGCGGCCCAGTGCAGGGGCTCACACCTGCAATCCCAGCACTTTGAAAGGCTGAGGTCGGAGAATCACTTGAGTCCAGGAGTTTCAGACCAGCCTGGGCAACATAGTGAGATCCCATCTCTACTAAAAATAAAAAAAAATTAGGCCAGGTATGGTGTCTCACACCTGTAATCCCAGCACTTTGGGAGGCTGAGGTCAGAGACTCACTTGAGTCCAAGAGTTTCAGACAAGCCTGGGCAACATAGTGAGATCCCATCTCTACTTAAAAAAAAAAAAAAAAATAGCCAGGTGTAGTGGTATGCACCTGTAGTTCTAGCTACTCAGGAGGTTGAGGTAAGAGGATTGCTTGAGCCCAAGAGGTCCAGGCTGCAGTGAGCCATGATCACAACCCTGCACTCCAGCCTGGGTGACAGAGCAAGAACTTGTCTCAAAAAAAAAAGAAAAAAGTGTGCAAATATAGACCCCAATTCTGCTTTCATCTCCTGCCCTGATGAGCGGTTCCCACCTGCCCCACATGGTTAACAGCGGTTAATTCTGGGGAATGAAATTTGAGGATAAAGATTTCCCTATTCTCACCCCAGTGGTATGAGACTTCATTACAAGTGTATTCTCAGTGAAAATCAGTTCTTGAAAAGGTGAAAACAAATCGTACTCTTTTTATGCATAAAGCCCAGAAAAAAGAACATAAACAGACACACAGCATATCTGTGGTATTGAAAGTTCAGAGGTATAGGCCTGGCACAGTGGCTCACACCTGTAATCCTAGCACTTTGGGAGGCTGAGGTGGGAAGATCACTTGAGGCCAGGAGTTCGAGACTAGCCTGGACAACACAGCAAGACCCAGTCTCTAGAAAGAATAAAAATTAAACAATTATCCAGGCATGGCAGTGTGCACCTGTAGCCCAGCTTTGGTGGCTGAGGCGGGAGAATTGCTTGAGCCTGGGAGTTGGAAGCCGCAGTGAGCTGAGATGGCGCTACTGCACTTCAGCTTGAATGACAGAGCAAAAAGATCCTGTCTCTACGATAAAAACAAACAGAAACTCCATTATATAATAATGCTACCTGAGGCCAGGTGCAGTGGCTCATGCCTGTAATCCTAGCACTTTGGGAGGCTGAGGCAGGCTGTCTCCTAAAGGCAGAAGTTCAAGACCAGCCTGGCCAACATGGTAAAACCCCATATCTACTAAAAATACAAAAATTAGCTGGGCGTGGTGTTGGTTAAAAATACCTTTTTAGTAGACAGGGTCTCACCACATGCAGCCTGGTCTTGAACTCCTGAGCTCAGGTGATTCTCCTGCCTTGGCCTCCCAAAGTGCCAGCATTACAGGCATGAGCCACCGCACCCGGCCTAAACCCTGGTTTTTATGCACCTGCTTGGATGTTGCCTTTAGGCTGTGTCTGAACTCCTGTGTCACAAACCAAAGCTGGGCTGTGGCAGCCTCCCCAGTAGCTGGGATTACAGGCGCCATCACCATGCTTGGCTGATTTTTTGTATTTTAAGTAGAGATGGGGTTTTACTATGTTGGCCAGGCTAGTCTTGAATTCCTGAGCTCAGGTCATCTGCCCGCCTCAGCCTCCCAAAGTGCTGGGATTACAGGCGTGAGCCACCGTGCCTAGCTGCTATCCTAGCATTCTTATGGTAGCAGTTTTGAGGTAGTGGTCCCCCCAGAGAGGGTCTTGGGGACCGGCCCCTGAGTGTCCCTGGACCACACTTTGAGAACTCCACTACACAGGTATTCTCTCCTCTTGACAGAAGAGAAAATGAGACCCCAGGCAGTAATAAATCTGCCCGAGTCTGCAAAGGTGAAAGTACAGCTGAAGTATGATACAAAAGAGATACATAAACCAGGCGTGGTGGTGCGTGCCTGTGCTCCCGGCTGCTTGGGAGGCTGAGGCGGGAGGACTGCTTGAGTCCAGAAGTTTCATGCTGCAGTGAGCTATGATCACGCCACTGCACTCCAGCCTGGGTGACAAAGAGAGACCCCTGCCATCTCCAAAAGAAAATA